CATTCCTAGGTATTTGCCCAGGAGAAATGAAAGTACGTCCACACAAAGACTGGTACCCAATGCTCACAGAAGCTCTATTCACAATAGCCCCAAAGTGGAAACAACCCAAATGTCAACCAGCTAATGAATGCATAACAAACGGTGAAATACTACTGGGCAATAAAAAGAAACATGCGACAACATGAAAGAATCTCAAAGCTTTATGCTAAGTGAAAGAAGCCAGACACAAACCATTATACCCTATAAGATGCCATTTATATATAACACTCTAGAAAAGGTGAAATGACAGTAACGGAAAGCAGACCAGCAGCTGCCAGGGATCAGAGGAAGGATACTGACTGCAAAGAAGCCTCAAGGAAGTATCTGGAGATGAAAACGTTACAGTGGTTACATGGGGGCCCGAATTTGTCCAACTCAGGAAATGAGGTAAGTAACATAGAGAACTTAGCACAGGGCTGGGCCCCGCCCGTATTAAGTGCTTAAACAATGCTAGCTGTTATCATGGCAAGTGCCACTGCCTCTTCAGTATTGCCCGAACTTTCTAGAACCAAACTCAGACTCACGATCTTCCTGGGAAGACCAGGACTGTTTCTCTAATCATTTCTGGTGCCTTTGTTTCCCTCACGGCCTCTACCTAGCAGACTTATCTGTTGCATTCCTCCCTCTCTCCAGTCCTTCTCTCCCCTGTGCCACTGACCTGATGTGGCCTTTCTTTTTTTTTTTTTAACTTACTTGACAGAGAGATAGAGAGATCACAAGTAGGCAGAGTGGCAGGCAGAGGGAGAGAAAGAAGCAGGCTCTCTGCTGAGCAGGGAGCCCGATGCAGGACTCAATCCCAGGACCCTGGGCTCATGACCTGAGCCGAAAGCAGACACTTAACCGACTAAGCCACCCAGGCACCCCTGATGTGGCCTTTCTAAGCCCACTGCTTCACTACCACTCTGGACTCTCCTTTCCCCTCCCTTCACGATTTTCATGGACCCCTACTCACCGCCAGCAAATTAAGTTTCCTAAAATACCACTTCCACATGCTACATATCCGCTCAAGTCCCTCACTGCTATTCAGAAACTTGAGCCTGGCCTCTAAGGGGCCCCACAGCTGGCCCCAATCTCCCTTTCCCATCTTTTACCCCACACCAGAATCCTCCATGACAGATCCTTTTGGAATAAACAAACAAAGGCAGGGACCACATCTGTCTTGCTCCGATGTGCACCCCAAGTGCCTAGCACAGTGCCAAGAACAAGGGGCATGCTCACAGCAGTATCTGCTGAATGAACTGAAGTCTGCAAATGCAACCTAGCCTCAGAGAACATAGCTAGTCATTCTTTAGTATTTTAAACTGAGATCCTTATGGTGGGTTAGTAACGGTTTAGAATAGGATGAACAACTAGAGTCTCTGGAAGGATTTATGTGTTAAAGGCTACAAGGCTTCTGTTTGTATTTCTACTTTTTAAAAAATACATCAATAAAACAATTATTTAAATATTTTCTCCGGGGCGCCTGGGTGGCTCAGTCGGTTAAGCGTCTGCCTTCGGCTCGGGTCATGATCCCGGGGTCCTGGGATCGAGCCCCCACATCGGGCTCCCTGCTCAGCAGGGAGGCCTGCTTCTCCCACTCCCTCTGCCTGCCACTCCCCCTGTTTGTGCTTTCTCTCACTCACTCTCTCTTTCTCTCAAATAAAATAAATTCAAAAATAAGGGGCGCCTGGGTGGCTCAGTTGGTTGAGTGACTGCCTTTGG